ATTCTTACTTCGGCTTCCTGGATATTGTCCGATGCTTGCTTTTCAAGATGTTATTGATGCACCTTTAGTTGTCAGAACATTACACAAAACTAAATTAGAGGTGAGAAAGGAATTTGGCATTGACGAGGATGTGAAATTGTTTATTATTAATTTTGGTGGCCAGTCAGCTGGATGGACACTAAAACAAGAATGGTCACCTGATCTTTGTCTATTTCCGGTTTGTGGTGCATCCAACAAACAGGTGCTTCCTCCAAACTTTATAAAGCTTGCGGAAGATGCATATACTCTTGATTTAATACCAACAGCTGATTGCATGATTGGCAAAATTGGATATGGTACTTTCAGTAAAGCTTTAACATACAAGCTACCTTTGGTCTTTGTAAGGAGGGATTATTTTAATGAGAAGCCTTTCTTCAGAAATATGCTAGAGTACTATCAGGGTGATGTGATGATGATAAGAAGGGACTTGCTTACTGAACATTGGAAGCCTTATCTTGAGCGTGCACTAAACCTTAGCACATTTTATGATGGTGGAGTTAAGGGTGACGAGGTGGCTGCTAGGATATTAGAAGATACTGTCAAGGCAAATGTCCATGAAACAATTGTTTTGATTGAAGTAGAGAAAATTGTTGTTTCTGCATAGTTAATAAATAAATTTGCGGAAATGAACCAGAGACACAAAATCTTCGATCCAGGAGGATTGCTTACGATTTCTACACCTGCCTCCCTCCCAATGACACGCCTCGACGGAGTCGAGCTCTTTTGACGCAAGGGGAGAATGATGCGGAGCATTTTAGCTTATAATATTCTTTAGTTTATTTTATTTAGTTTGTTACAAATTTTCTAGAATCTTCTAGGATTCTCTAGGATTTCCTTACTTTAGTATTATATATAGGGAATGTGTAGGAGGAAAGAACACATTGAATGAAATATTACTCTCTTTTAAAGCTTTGAAGCTTTGTGTTTGACATTTTTCCTGGATTGGGATTAAACCCTTCTTGCATGTCCGATTCTTTCGACGATCCCCACATCAAGCTCGATAAGCCGTCGAGCTAAAAATCATATTCGAGCTTGTCTCGTGAGCTCTATAAACTCTAATCGTCGAGCATGTTACCGAGTTGAATCCGAGCCCACTTGACTCGGTTACACCCCTATTAGTGAGTTAGTCTAAGTGAATTTAAATCAATCAGCAAACATTTCAGTTTATAAGTGATTAAATTCAGAATGTATTATCTTCATTATTAACTAGTTACTAATTATTTAGTTCATTTATTGGTTTAAATATCACACTGCCGTCTAATAAAGTCTTAAAAATGGTTATATCATTTAATTATTAATTATTTCTTTAATTCTATTGCACTCAGATTCAGCACGGTATAATTTTAATTAGTCTGCACTTAATTACCTGACTGAAACTGCATTTATTATTAATCAAGCTAGTTAAATATTAATGACTCTGATTGAGCGGTGCTCTGTTTTTGACCGTTTTCGAAATAGACGGAAATTGTTTTCTGAAAATATTAAGAAAATAAGAACACTTAAAAAAGGAAACCTCATCCTCTATATAAGATAAGAGTAATTACTGGTCATCTTATTTCCTAAATTCCTTCTGAAATCCTCTTTGGATTACGGTCTGACGAAGATCCAGAACTATCCTGCTATTACTCTCGTCGGCTCTAAGATCTCCATTGGTAAGCATTAGTGTTTAGGGTTTTATCTTCCATCAGCATTTTGCATTACTGTTTTGAATCTGATAGCCACTTCGGATGAAGCATTTCTTTTTGACTGATTTGTTATTTCTCGGAGTAGTAAGTACATATCTGATACTTCCATTAGGTTTGGATTTTATTTTTTGAAATTAACAAAATTATGCTAAATATGAAACAATGATCAGATCAAATCAATGGCTTTCAAGGAGGAAGCAGAACCATCGCTAATTGTCATATATAGCACTTATGAAGAGGAGCATGAAGACACCGCCTGCTCCTCTTTTAAAGAATGCATGCAGGCTGATTTGATAGATTCAAAAAAATTGAAAGCTTCAAGATTTCAGAAGAAGAGAAAGATGACGGATACACCAGCGAAAAGGAATTTCTGTCCAAATAAATTTTTTGGTGATTAAACTGCCTTTGATCTTTGCTCATCCATCTCAGTTTTGCTAATTAATGTTACAATTTATATACCATTATATATTTAATTTTTGCTTATTTTTGTTATAATTTTGCGTGCAGTTAAAAAGGCTGAATGTTCAAGCAATATGAATGAAAAAGGCATCAATGAAGACAAATTAGAAGATAGTGACAGTCATAAAAGCGAAAGTGATGATGAACTATCAATGTCTCCCGTGCCAAAAAGAAAAAAGAGGTTGACTGCACCAGCTTACTTCGCCATTCTATCTGGAAAAAAGAAAAAACCATGGACACCTAGTATGTATATATCTTGCTAAGAAAATTTGATCTATAATCTTTTATGATTTTTTCATTCTCATGACGTGGACACTATAAATAATTATTTGCCTATTATTGTAAAGTGACAGTGAATAAAGCTTGTCGCCATGAATGCGTAGAACAAAATTCTGCCCAAAGTAGTGTTGGGAGTTTCAACCCCGACATGAGTGAATCTGAAGATGACTCCATGAATTCATGCAAAATCAAGAAGAAGAGGCTGACAACTCCTGCTTATAGGAAGCTTCTAAAGAAGTGTAACACAAGAGTAAAAGTTTTAAGGTATTATATATTCACTTGTTGACTTCGGAATTAATTATCTTTTGTGCTTCAAAGGTATTTATATATGATATCATTCATGTTTGCCTCTTTTGACAGGGAAGTAAGCATAACCGAAAATCTGATATTGATATCTGATACTTTAAAAAGCTTCATTATGATGTTTTTGGGAAGAGAAAATAGCTGCAATGAAGCATGTAGTTTGATGTTATTGTTCTATAAATAGTTAGAATTTGTGATTTCAAGTCTGTACTGCTTCTTCTTGAACTCTTAGATTTGGCTGCATTCAATCATCATGTTTTTTTCTCTTTTATCATCAAAGGAATTTTGAATTGTTTCATTTCACACTTAATGAAATGATTGTCTCACATTTTCTTATCATGGGAGGAATGTTTTCGTATGTACCAACATCTGACTCCAAGCTTTCTTGAATGTATGCCACATATAACTTTGACTGTAATTTTATTGTAAATTATTACTTCTCATTATAGACATTTTCAAAAAAATATCTATAAATAAAGGCGAACAAAACTATAATAATTTTTATAAAATAAAAATATTAAAAATGCCTACTTCAAATCCTTAGCTGCCTTATGTCCCACAGTCACTTTCTCTAATACACATAGCACCAGCTAAATAAGCCAAAAAAATGTCTCATTAATGTCTATGAAAATAAAATAAATTTGGTTCATGTTTATTATACATTCTTGGATGTCTCAATAATGTCTAAGAACAGAAAATAAAACGAGTGAAGGCTTAAGAATCATGAGTCAGCTCATGAGTCAGCTCCATATTGAATTGATAAATGGCTCATGAGCCGAACCCAATGTGCTAATGAATTATACTTGAGCTCGTCCTGAATCGACTTATTAGCTCCTGAGTTGGCTCATTTAAAACAAAATATTAATATAAAGGAATTTAAAAATATATTAGAATTCAAAATTTATTGTACAATGTTTTTATAATTGTTTAAATATTATATCTAACTTTTTATATTAATTGATTTTGTATCATTTTACTAGAATAAGTATTTACATCATAATTATTTTTTCTCTTTCATAATAAATGATTTGACTTAAATTTGTAGAATAAAGTGCGAGCTAACCCTCGATTAATTAATCAAGCTAAAGTTAAAGCCAATGGTGATTCAAGCTTGACTTGACTTGTATACCCCGCTGAATTGGACCCTTGTCATTATTGACTAATAACTAACTATTTAAGTCATTTATTAGTTTAACTATCACAACGTACGTATTTATCGTCAAATAAAACATAAAAAGTATAATCTCATTTAAATACAAATTATTCTATTTAAATGTCACGCTTTCTTGTCCTAATTAGTCTAATTTAACTAAAAATATTGTGTACGAATTAAAATTAAATAGTTTGAATTTAAGTATTTGAATTAAAATTGTTTTAATTATGAATTAGTTAAGAATTCATTCATGAAATTTTTAATAAACATATTTATAAAATTATTGCTGAGAAAATAGCTATTTTGAAAGTTACTGTAAAAAACAGCTTTTCAATATAAAAATTTATTAAAATAGTAAAAAATTAATGATGAAATAAAAAACATGATTATAATCTAAAAAATAAAACAGTTCTCAAACTAACCCGAAGTACTAAAAACCCTAAATGAGTCAGAGTTCTGTTTATGAAGGTTATCGTAAGTGGCCGAAAAAATAAAAATTCTAAAATATTCGGAATAAAAAAAAAAATCTTAAAAATGAAACCCCATCCTCTATATAATTAACTACTACATAATTCCCTTATTACTGCTGAAATAAATTCTCCGTTGGATGAACAATTATTACGTCATCCGATCGGATGCAGAGGAACATTCGGTCGTAGGCAAAATTCCGCCTATACCGAGGTGTACCGAGTTTTTCCAAAAAAACTCGGTACACCTCGGTATAGGCGAGATTTTGCCAACGACCGAATGTTGCTCTGCATCCTTACACCGGACCAAATAAAAGTTCCCGTTGGATTCTGAAGATCCAGAAATCGCTGGTTATTCCTCTCAAAAGCAATAAAATTTCTACGGGCAAGCATAAGGTTTTTGGTGAGATCTTCTTTTAGAAATTTGCATTAGGGTTTCGAATCTGATTCCCACTTCGACTGAAGCATTTCTTCTTCAGTTATGAGTTCTTCCTAATAATAGTTTTTCTTATGAATAGTAATTATATATTTGATAAAAAAATTAATTTTTTTTTTATATTTCCACTACATTTAATTTTGATTGCCATTGGATAAAAAATAGGTTTTGATATACTCCTACATTGAATAGCTTAGTTTTTTTTCCCTTTTTTTTAAAAAAACTTTTCGTCATGTTTCTTAATTAAAAAAAAAAATTTCACAATTTATCATTAAAAATATCACAGTTTTACTAATTATTTTCCTCAATCTTTCTACTTTTTTATCTTCTCTAAACCCGAAAGCAAAATTTCTTCTCTTTTTTTTTTTTTCGTTGTTCTGTCAATTGCTGATTTTGCATTAGGGTTTTTATTCCTCTCCGTAGCCCTAAAATCACGGCTCGTAAGTGCCATTGTTTTAGTCTTGATATGTCCACAAAAATCGCATTGACCAGGTACGAATTTTGATGCATATATGAATGGAAAACTTTTAAAATTAAATTTGGGACCATTCAAATTCTAATTTCAGTAAAAATGTAGTCAAATTGAACATATCAAGGAGACAAAACGCAACGAGACTAAAACCGGTCTAATCAATAGACTGAAGCATATTTAGAAACTTTAGTGCATTTATTAGATGACAAAATGATATCTAAATATAGCATGCTTATGGTCGAATCAAGCGACTCGAGGAAATTCAATGCTGAATGAATGCTTTATAAACGAGGAAATCAATATGCATGAGCCATCTGATATAGGACACTCCTAAGTTATCCTAAATCTTCTCCATATTTATGGGGCATGCCTATCACAAAATCTATAAATAGACTCCATATTCTCACATGAAGGGGGGTTTGGACATTTGGATGCTTGAACCTTAGGCTAGAGATCAAGAGAGCTATAAGGCTTAAAGAATCGAGGAGCTCCACCTCGGACACCATCGTCGGCGAACCCTCATTGTCTGACCTTCATTGCTAAATCTCCACCCAATCTTTGTCGTCGGACTTCCATTCGGCCACCACTATTGGGTCTATCTCCAACCCTCGTCGCCCGTCGACTACGGTCCCCTTAACCTCTGTCGCCCGCCTACTATGGTCCCCCTGAGCACCGTTGTCTGCTGACTACGATCATTATGACCACCATTGCTCATTGACCACAGCCACCACTCTTGGGTCTACCTCTAATCATCATCGCTCGTCGACTACGATCCGCCCAACCTTCGTCGCCCGCCGATTATGGTCCCCCTGACCACCATTGCCAATTGAGCACGACCTCCAACGCTTCCCGACTAAGGTCTTTCCGACCTCCATCGCTCGCCGACTACAATACTTCTGACCTCCATCGCCCGACTAATATCCCTCTGAGCACCGTCGCCTAACTATAGTCCCTCCAATAAATGTCCCCCAACTATGATACCATGAAAAAAAATATAAACATACATTGTGATATATCAGATGCTGTTACAAGAGAAAGAAATTGCAAAGGATTAGTTTTATACTCAATTGTCATCTTAATATAAGCTAATATGTGAGAAAACACAATAAAAAAGAATATTCTTAATTCTATATTTTTTTCATGATAAATACAATAAATTAACAAACAACATAATTTAGATATGAATAGGGTTACATGATATGAAATTCCTCAAAAAATATGGTGGTTGTTGCGCTAGTGATCGATATCAGATTTTGCTATAGTTTTCAGCACACATCTATACTTTGTTTTGGTTTTTGATGGTTGGTCATCTTGTGATGCTTGATTTTGCTATTCAATCTAACGTAATTTTCAAAAAAATTGCTAAATCAGGAGTAGCAGAATCAACAACATGCTATTTAAAATATTTTTGTTTTGTAACTAAAAAGAAAAAAAAAAAAGAAAGAAAAAATTCTTGAGTTCGAATAAGAATTCGGTGAACAATTAAGTGGTGATTTCTCATATTCAATGTCATAATCATGCTAATGTTAGGGTTCAAGTTCAAAAATAGGTGTAGTCTTAGGATAGGTAAAGTGCATTAAAAATATCATTCTTAAGTTGATAGTCTTCTTCTTAGTCTAAGTCACCATTAGGTGGATGGTTTGATATTTCTTAAGATTTTAGTTTCGTCAATAAGATCAGGCTTGACTTTATGTGATATTAGTATCGGTGCTTATTTTATAAGTTGTGAAATGAGCCGATTAGGAAAAATACTGGACCCGAGCAAATGAATGACGACGGAGAATTTGGCAGTGATGAATTATCTGACTGCGGCGATGGATTCAGTTTCAGGACAAACATATTTGTTCGTGGATGTTCACCCAATGGAGCTCTAGTATGTGTGACCGACGAAGCATGCAGCAGGAATATCAAGATTATTGAATGAGTCGATTAGGACAGAGAAGGGAAATAATAGGTAAAGTTTTAGTAGCGGTGAAAAGTATTGTGTATATAAATGTATAGTGGCAGTTAGTAAACCGTCATTATGAACTGCTGCGGAAAAGTCATTTTTTGTTAGTGTATAAGGTCATCAAATGAGTAAAAGTTAAGGCATATGCACAATAGGTTGGGCAAGCCCAAAGCTAAAATGCATGAGCAAATGTGGAACTATATCAACTGCTCTATCAGGAGCAAAGTTTTGAAAGACAGACCAATCACCTAGAAAAAAAAAAAAAGTTATAAATTATAAAGGAAGTGCTATCATATTTTTTTTAAAAAATATTAAATAGTGATAAAGGAGGAATAATTTTACCAATCGCCCACTTATGCTTTAGCAGAAAACGGTGTCGAGCTAGTCCACAAATTGAAAGGAGAAGAAACTATCTGATATGAATTGCTACTGTTATTTGTGACATTGAAGTTTATCTAATAGAAGAATATTTAAATGGCTGAATGTATTTGATTCTGTAGTACATTTGATGAGTAAGATTATCCAATTATCTGCTCATATCGTATGTTTTTTTTTTGTTAAAACTAAATTGGCTGGATAAATAATATGATGTCATTTAACAGGTATTACTTACTAAACCAACGGGATGAATGAAGATAAGTATATATAATGAGAAAGTGAGGTTCTTCTAATATTTGGAATTTCGATTGCAATTAATTCTGCGTAATCCTCCTCTCTAACTATTCATTATGATTCTCAAAATATTTCTACTCTTGCTATAGATAAATATAAATAATGCAGAATAAAAGAGTATATATTTCATGGACAAAAGTGAAAATTCAATTATGTGCTACCATATGTCATAACATCTTAAGAATTCTCTGAGGTTGCAGATAAAAAGCACGTTTTATTAAATGATTATTCATTGAACAGAAATCATTAAAGAAGTTGATCTTCAAATCAAATTTAATTTAAAAAATGTACCAACCAAATATTTTTCTAACTTCAAGCAACTGAATGACTCAATGAGCAGTTGAGGAAAAATAGCATCAGCAACACTCATATTTAGACAAATTAAATTATTTGTTATAACATAATAATATTTTGCTGGTATCTAAAGTGGTTAGACTTGCAATGTTTTATGGGGCAGAATATTGGCTGTTAAAAGAGAAGCATAATATTAAGTTAAGTGTTGCAAAGATGAGGATGCTTAGGTGGATAAGTGGCTTTACAATTAGAGAAAGGATACAAAATGAGCATATGCGTGAAAAGGTTGGAGCACCTTTAGTGAAAGATAAGATTAGAAAGAGTCGCCTTAGATGGTTTGGTCACATAAAAAGGTGGCCTTCGGATGACTCAGATAGGAAAGCAGATGCATTAGATTTGACTTATGTCAATAAAGATTGAGGTAGACATAAAAGAATTGTTTAGAAAATATTATAAATAATATTTCTTTATTAGATTTAAATGAAAATTTAACTCTTAATAGGATATAATAGATAAAAAGGATTTATGTAGCCGACCCCACAGTGTGGGATAAAGGCTTGATGTTGTTGTTGTAGTTGTATCTAAAGTGGTAAATACTTATGTTGTTTTGAAAATTTGTGTGATGATATGACTAACATTATTTAGAAATAGCTTTGCCAAGGTATATGTGCCATCTCTAAATCATGAGAATGAAAAATAAAATATCATAATTCAATTAATTAGTAAGATATATGTACCAGGTGCCCATGGTCTTTTCCTTTTTTCAGATAAAACAGGGAAGTAGATTTAATAAACATATTTCTTCTCTTTGATATGGGAAACATCGATTGTTTATCATAAGCTTCACTTCAATGGTTGCTGCCACTTTCTTCTAATTTGTTTCCATTGATGTCATTTTCATTGATATTACTTGAACATTCAGCTTTTTAACTGTATAATTATAACATATATAAACATAAATTAAATATATAAAGATATATAAATTGTAACATTAATTAGCAAAATTAAAATGACAGAGCAAGGTTCAAAAGCTATTTAATCACCAAAAAATTTGCTTGGATGCCAATTGCTTTTCGCTGGTGTATCCATCGTCTTTCTCTTTATAAAAAAACATGAAGATTTCACTTTTTTTAATCTAGCAAAATAGAAATCTTTTTCAATTTTTTCTAGAAATCTTATGCTAAATATTTGACCATGATCAGATCAAATCAAAGACTTCTAAGGAGGTAGAAAACCCACCCATAATAGTCATATATAGTACTTATGATAAGGAGCTTGAGGACACTGCTTGTTCCTATTTTAAAAATTGCATCGAGGATGATTTGATAGATTCTCAAATTTTGAAAGCTTCAAGATTTCTTAAAAAGAGAAAGTGGGTGGATACACAAAAAAAAGGAATTTTCGTCCAAGTGAAATTTTTGTTAAATACTTACCTTCGATCTTGCTCAGTCATTTCAATTTTTCTTACTAATGTTATAATTTATATGTTAATATATATTTAATTTGTGTTTATGCATATTATAATTATATAGTTAAAAAGGCTGAATGTTCAAATAATATCAATGAAAATGATATCAATAAAAATAAATTAGAAGATAGTGACAGACATGAAAGTGAAGTTTATGATGAACCGTTGATGTCTCCCATACCAAAGGGAAGAAAGAAGTTGACTACACCCGCTTACTTTATCATTATATCTGGAAAAAATAAAGCTTGCCACCATGAATGTATACAACAAAACTCCGCCCAAAGCAGTGTTGAGAGTTTCAACCCATAAATGAGTGAATTTAAAGATGACTCCAATTCATACAAAATCAAGAAGATGAGGTTGACCACTCCTGCTTATATGAAGTTACAGAAAAAGTGTAACACGAGAGTTAAAATTTAAAGGTATTATATACTCTCTTATTGGTTTTGGAATTAATTACCTTTTGTGCTTCAAAGGTATTTATATAAGATCCATGTTTGCCTTTCTCATAGGTAAGTAAACAGAACCAAAAAACATATATTGGTACGTGATACTTCAAAGCTTAATGAAGCTTTTGAGAATAGAAAACATCTGCGTTGAAGCATGTAGCTAGATAAAACAAATAGATAGATTATATTAAGCATATGTTCATTGTTAGTATTCTTTAAATATAGTTAGATATTGTGATTTCTGTATAGCTTCTTGAAATCTTAGATTTTAGTTTCATTCAATCATCATGTGTTTGTCTTTTATCATCAAAGGAATTTTGTATTGTTTCATTTGACACTTAATAAAATGATTATCTCACTTTTTCTTATCATGGGAGGAATGTTTTCGTAGGTTATTTTTAATTATGTACCAACATCTGGCTCCAGGCTTTCTAGAATGCTTGCCACATACAACTTTGATGGTAACTTTGTTGTAAAATGCTACTTCTCATTATAGACATTTTAAAAGTATACATATAGGCAAAAAAAATTATAATAATCTTTATAAAATAAAAATGTAAAAAACGCTTGCTTGGAGCACTAAGTTGCATTTTGTCCCAGAACCAGTTTCTCCAATACACATAGCACTAGCCATTGAAATTAAAATTAGCACATTAAATTTGAGTTATGTTTAATTAAATTCTTAGAGCTTTAAAGTGTCTCAATAATGTCTAAGAAAATAAATAAAATGAGTGAAGGCTTAAGAAAAAGGAAAGCTGAAAAATAAATAAATAAATAATCACAGAAGGAAAGAAGATCCACATAAGATGAACATAGTTAACAGAAATATTTTCGATTTACATGAAATAGGCATTCAAATCAGTAAATAAGTTCAGATTTTTTTTTGGAGAGTGAACTATATAAAAAAAGAGTTTACTATCTCTACCATCTCGTGAAACTACAATAAATCATGAACAACATGGTGTAGATTTAGTCCCTAATGGCATACCATTCACCATAAAACACAAAGTTCTACCAGGACATTCATGTATAATGATTATTCATGATTGAGAAGTCTTTAACCTAACATGAGGGGGGCATCTTCACATAAAATTTCAGCACAAATAAAATCCTTGATTATCACATTATCTTACTAAGGCATTTTGTCGAGCAACTAACATGCAAAATTATAAAGATACATAGAACAAATCGATGTGAAGATCATGCTCTACAATCGCACATAACCACAAAAGGAAAGAAAATCTATCCACATATTTAGTTAAGCTCACCACAACACAATCTATATAAAGTTCACTAAAATTTTGGAATGAAGAGGAACAACTATAATCATCCAAGATTCAACATGATATATTAAAATAGGTTGCTCAAGCTTAGGTACATAAACCAAAAAGCACAAATTATGTGAAGGCAAATCAAACATGAAAGAGAACTTCATAATTATAGGGAAGAAATCGAGACAATAACTCAATGAGAATGTTGAAACTAGTAACAATCATTTGTCTTGTTGCCAAGTGAAAAGTCTAAATGAGTTTCAAGTTTCAATTTTAAAAGAGATCGAGCACATAATTTTTTTTTTTTTGACGGATACAAAGGAATGAGTATAAATGCACTTTGCTTACATGCAACCTCATAGTCCTCTCATTAGATTTTAGAGAACAAATTACATGATGTAAACATTTTAGTGAATGCAATTTTCACATTTAAAAAAAAAAGTAAATTTTAAATGACTTTGAATACATGCAATATGTTACATCAAGTTGCATGCATGCTTCGAATGGATACCACTAATTTCCACCACCATGACACATTTAACAAAGTTAGTAATTGTAAGCAATCAATTAAATATGAGTAGATCCTTGTAATAGCAACAACATTGGCAAAGGAAGTATCATTGTAGGAGTGTTGGATAGCAATATGAATGAGTTACTACAGAAACCTCATGCCATTTCTTTAAGAAGGATAAGACTCAAACACAATCAAAACTACTCATGACCAGTAGTAACTAACATAATCACTCAAAAAGATTAAGACATCGCTTGATAACCAAGTAAATATAACAAAACTAAGCAACAAGAAATGTGATGAATGCATTGTCAAACTCACTGCAACAGAAATTGAAGCAATTCTTATCAATATGTTGATGAAGACATATCTATTGGATAAGAAGGGAAAAGGGGAAAGAAGAAAACGAAGAAGAAGAAAGAAATCTGGAAGAAGAAGAAGAAAGGAGAAGAAAGATTACGAGGAGGAGGAGGAGGAATAGAATAAGAGGAAGAAGAAGAAGAAGGGGAAGAAATCACCTGTAGAGAGAGGGCCGGCCGATGGCTAGGGCAGGAGGTCGACGGAGAGTGCTTAGGCTTCCTCCTTGGTTCGTTCGGTCAAGAGAGGCGGGAGAGCAGAGGGTTCCGCCTCCTAAGCGTGTGAACCAGACGAGAGGTAGAGGGAGAGGGGTTGGCGTCGCTCCTTCCTGGAGTTCGCGAACAAGGAGCTCGCGAGAGAGAGGGGGATGTTCGGTGGGAGTCCTTCTGTATTCGCTTTATCATGTCTATACTCAGACATCTTCTCCTCTATCTGTATCTGATTTCTCTTTCTGTCGCAGAAAATCATATGAAATGCGGGATTTCGGCTAAAATGAAAATCACATTTGATCATAGCCGTCCATGCAATTACTACTAGATTTAGGAAATGATTTGAATTAAGTCAAAAGTCAATTGTACTTTGGTTTGAATCAAATTGGCTAATTTAACTCAGATTTAGGCTCAAATCAAACTTACTTTTGAGTCAAATTGAGGTCAATTCGGGCTAGATCGACCAACTTAACTAATATGATGAAATTACACTCAAATTGATGCTGATTCATATTGAATCGGGCTCGGCATGGCTAAGATGAATTAATATAGCTTAATTGAACACACTCGAATCTAAGTCGACTCAATTTTGAGTCGATTTGAGTTCAATTAGGTCTCATCAAGTCAATTTAATAGAATTGAACTTGAATCAGCATTGATTTGAATTGAATTAGGCTCGACGAAACTCAATTGGCCTGATCGAACATACTCGAGGGAAAATCGCACAAAAAAATGAGGTCAACAAGAGCCTAGCGTGAAGACTCCACCTTAACGACCCCCAATCAAAATAATCAAATAAATCTAATAAAGCAGTTAGTTCTAGTATGTAAATAAAATAAACACACCAATCATCCAAGAATAAATAATAAATGGGAGTCCAAGAAGTGTATTTGGATTATGTAATACACCTCAAGAAAAGTAAAATAGTTAGCTGAGTGGTACCATAATTATAATTTAGCCTAAAAGTATGTATTATTGAAATGGTAGGGATCTTGAATAATTTTCATATGTTTAGCGTGTTGCCTTCTGAAATATCCACAAACCTATAGCTTTTCTAAATAAAATTACATATAAAAAAGAAAATTATATAAGCTCCCTAAAAAATAGAAATTAGCATAATTATAATAAAGTAGTTAGTTATATTCATATCCCGACCTAGTCCTTAGGATCACATTCTCAAGGGCTTAGCAATCCTTGAAATACATGTTAGAGAGCGTATTTATAATGATAATGGAAATATTTTTATTAGCCCGTTGGGAACATGACCATATGTAGAAGATATTTCTAAGAAAACACTAATCCCTTAAAAGAAAGTGTCCACTCATCAATCAATAAAATAAGAAACAAAACAACCATAAATAATTCAAAATAAAACATGACATCATAGCATCACAAATGCAAAGTAAAAAAATAAGTAATACGAAAAAAATGATATCCTAACTACATCCAATCCTAGAATGCCTATAAAATGTATTCAATCTTGTACCTAAGTGTGTGCAAAATTAGTGTTAGCTAGTTAGAATAACTTGGGTAAATAGTTCAAGTCATAAGGTTTAGTTCATAATGTTTAATTTATTAACCTAGAGATTTTTATTTAAGTGAGTAGTCATTGATGTTGAATTAATTATGATCATATTTTAAACTTTTTTATTTTGATTATTAAGTTATGAGTAATGTAACATATATGGGCCCTAACCTACGCTAGAGTTATAGAAAATTGAGGGGTAAATAACTCATCCTCAATCCTAAACCTAATTAAGGCTAGAATGATTATATGGCTATATGGGTGGCTAATCCCTCAATTTTTTAAGATTAGAGATGAGGCTAATAGGTTATACAGTACTGTAGGTTTAATGCCCACCACAAAAATCCTAAGTTTCTTATGTCTAAGTAAATCAATTTTAAAAGAGTGAAATAGGAATGAAGCACTCATTATATAAGGATATAAAATGGTTATACCAGACCTAAGGTTTGACACTTAGGTGGTTAAGGAGTTGGATAGAGTTACTAAGGATGGCTTTAAATTTCTAAAGTGAGTGATTTGTGTAAATCTTTGGGCCTTTCTTCCCTTCCTTTGAGGTGTGTTGCATCATAACAAAGGGCATGATGATCAATGCCTGATTAGGACACATAATCCCTTAGCTCGAGGATTCCAACCTATATACCTAACATCAAAGAAGATGATTCAAAAATACACATAAATCAAATATGGTTTAAAGAACTAAGTTTTGATTTGAAGTACATTTTCTTCTCCAACATCACGTATTATGTTTGAAAATACTTTTGAAATAGATTTTTTTTAGTAGATTTGTAAATTAACACCTATATTCCATCAATTAATTCATGGCATTATCATACTAGGCATGGGGACCTAAGCCTCCTTAAGACATGTAGTCCCACAACTCAAGATTTCCATCCTATAAACTTTATTGATAGAATATATAGTATGAAAGATATACATATATATTAGAATTTTTGAAAAAGTAAATGCAACTCAAACATGGGATCCTAGAATAGGTTGAAGCAATAGAGCTTAATCTAGCACTTATTTGAGAGACACACTACACAAAGCTAACACATAGATTAACCTAACATGCTAGAGCTCAGATTTTATTTTATTTTTCACATTCATGATATGATCATAAAGATAAAAATTTGGAGGCTCAAAATCATTTAAAAGGTAATTTTTATGGTTTCTTAAGTATGTTATTAGCAAAATCAAAGAAAACTTCCAAGCGAGGTATTCTTTATGCAAAAGAAATTAATGCACATGACACAAAGAGGTTGCCTATACTATAAGCCTAGTTGACCATATAAAGGTGAATGAGGTTCACAGAGGGGGAAATCATTAACCAATAAGGCTAAGGAAGGCTTTATTAGTGATATGTATAGCCTATGACTAATATCTAACACACCTATCATATATATTTTGCTAATAGTAAAAATAGCCTAAAATGTGTGTGAATGTTGCCAAATTGTTCATAATTATAAGAGACGTCTTGATAAAGTTTGAAAAATTATAGCTAACCCAAAAGCAAGGTAGGACATGTATATATGCTCTGACATAATGAAAGGAGCCTCTCCTAAGCCCCAGGGGGGGCTATAACTCACCAATCGACATGTGAAAATGATGTCCCACATAAATATCACAAAGACAACTCACATATAAGTAAATAATGCAAAATGATGCATGTAAAAAGATGACATAGGCCTGCATGCACTAAGAGAATTAAAATTTTAAAGATTTGGGTCAAATTATAACCCATAAATTTGAAAAATAAAATACAAAACTTGGGGGATTATTAAGCTTAGAGAAAATTAGGAGAAGTAGGGAACGTCCCCTAGTTTTCTCAATCTAAATTTGAGCCTATAACAATGCATGATTGGGTAGTAAATTGAAAAATATCTAACAAGATCAAATGTAAATTACTCTCTATATATATGTTAAATTATATTTATGTTAATATTAGATTGTAGGGCTTATTGTTCCAGTTTCATAGAGCCCAAAATCATTAAATTTAGTCTATAAATTAAGTTTTAATGAATTTTAAAGTTTATGGCATTTTTTAACTTAAAGAATGAGATTTTTTTTTTAATTTTTTGACTACGACTATGGAGTGGCTACCAAGTGGTGGTAGGGAGTCGGCTGGGTGAAAATAGGCTAGTGGCAAATAAATGGTGGTGAAACAGTGGGGCGATAGTAGAGCTATAGTGGGACGGTGGTAGGTGATAGCTGGGCGACAGCCGGGAGATTGTAAGAGTTGGCCATGACGGCGTCTGCCACATATTGGCATGTCGTATATTCACTTATCCATGAAAGTATATCACGAGCCTTATGGGTGGGATCCTATGCAATGGGTTAGATGGATCAGCTGTTCGGCAAAACTGGACTATTTAGTCAAAGATTGATGGTCCATATTCTGTCTTCTTCCTTCAAAATAACTTTCTTAGGGGAATGCCATTTGCTTCCTACGAGTTACCAACTAAAAAAAACTTAATGAAATTTAAAGGGAATGCTTATGAACCTATTAACTGCCTACACTTTAATTTTGACAGCTTTATATGGTGCATTTTTAAAGTTATTCACAATTAAAGATTAGATTAAAAGTTGAAATATATCTCTATGAATTTTCTAACTTATATATTTTCCAAAAATGTCAAACTTTGCTTCCATTTTATAATTCCCCTTCATATGGTGGCTTGAAAGAGAAGTTGTTGGGCGCTTACTTGGTATCTAAAATATACATGCATACCTTATATATATATATATAAAGTTTAAGTTATGAATGGTGAGGGAGTAGGAAAATTTTCTTTTTTTTTCTATAGATGATTATTTTGATGTAAATAGAAAGTGAGTGTTTTGAAAAGTGTTTATTTTGAAAGGTGAAGTGTTTTGGATAGTGTATGTTAAAAGTGAGCCATGGAAATCTTGGAAAGTGATATATGCAAAAATTTTGGAAGTTAAAGGCGTGCAAGAGTTGAATAATGAAGTGTATGGTTTTGAGATATGTGTGTGTTGGAAAATGTATAGATTTTGAAAGAATAAAGCATGTGAAAAGTGAAGTGTATGCATATTGAAAAGTGTTTTATTTGAAAAGTGTATGTTTTGAAAGGTAAAATGTGTGATTAAAGTGAGACATGTGTATATGAGATGTGAATTGTGTGTGTGTGTGTAGAAAAGTAAAGTGCATGAACTTTGAAAAGAAAAGTGTGTATTTTGAAAAGCTATTTGTATAGAAATGCATATATTTTAGGAGGGGGAAGTGAGTGTATTGAAGTTTGTAAATGTTGGAAAATGAGTTGTTTAAGTATTTGGTACAAAGTAAAGTTTTAAAGAAATGCTTAGCTCTCTTTCTCTCCCTCCCTTTCTTCTTTTTCTTCTTTCTCCTTCTTGTGCATCGGGATAAATTTTAGAAAACAATATAAATCATCTTCGAAATCAAAAATTACAAAAGTAAAAGTCAGCCGAGCCGATGTGTAAGCCCAAAAAAGGTATGTTTTATTTAAATTGAATTTTCAATTATTTCTATAGTAATTATTAAACATGCTCGGATCACTGTTCTACTTTCTTTGTTAGCATAAACTATGAGAAATGGTGGTGATCAAATAAACAGAGGAATGAAAGGAGATCAGTCACCTCTATTGCTACTGGATGAAAGTGCTATGGCCAGATATCACTGGACATTGGCTTAGATGCAGGTGAGTACTCTAAACATAGATAGCATTAAGGCCAATAAAACTCCATG